AGACCCGCGCCCTTAACCCTAAGGTGCGCGTGGCCCCGGTTCGGAGGCCCTCTGGGAGGCGGGCGCGTGTCCCCGAGACTGATTAGGAATGGAGGGGCGGGAGCGGGAGGGGAGACACGGCCGGAGGGGACAGTTCTTTCAGGTTTGGGAAAGGGGCGGGGAGCTGAGGCGATGAGGTCATCGTGGCGGTGACCGGTCGTCCTCGCGCGCCTCCCCGAGTCCCAGCACCTCTGGAGGAGACAGCGCGACAACAGGGTGCAACTCGGGCACCCTGGAGGAATCTCCAGCTCCGAGGCGGTGAATAACCCCGGGAGAAGGGGAGGCGGCCAACGCTGATCGCTAGGCGCCCTTCGTCCTGGGCGTGCCGAGAAGCTGACAACCCGGGCGGACTGCGACCAACGCGCACTTTCACCTCGCAAGGGTTCAACTTCGGCCATCCGGAACCCAGACCACCGGGCCGCGGGGAGTGCCTTTGCGTGCAACTCTAGAAAGTTTTAAGGGTCCCCCCGACTGCACATGCAGCCTTACCTTTACTGCCTGGGGAAGCTGGTGACCTCCCTTACCTCCTTTCTCTTCCTGCAAGTCCGGAAATCTGCTATGGGTATGGAACTACCTAGCTCTAGTCCTCGTAGAGGACCCCGTCCTCCTCGCGCAGCGTATTCGGGATCATTAATTTAATCGGAAATGAGGTAACCAGTGTAGGAGATTGAGAAAGCAAACCGAGCATCAAATGGCAGTTCTGGGTGAATCCACGCTGAAGGACTTCCTCTGGACTCAATTTTTTAAAGCGCGGTTCTCAATCCCCTACCTCCCAGCCCTGATCCTTCCACCTGGTGTTAGCTCCAAGGGAAGGAATATTCTTTGAGGGGGGGGGGGGTGCATCTTGCCCACAGGTATGGCACTTGGAGCTAAAAGGAGCTTACTGTGGCATACCCCTTGCTGCAGATAATTCTGGAGGACTAGTAGGTGTCGGGCAGCATATGACCTTCAGGTGCTTAGAACCAAGTATCCAAGTAAGTTTCTCTCTGAAAGCCACCACTTTTGACTGTAAGCTGTATTTGAGAAACCTTTTGGCTGAGTTTACTTATGAGCTAGCGGTTAGTCACCAACAGAAGCAAGATACAGACTCGCCAAGAGAAATGTGTCAGCTTTTAAACAATTGTATTGTAGAACCAACGTGCTACAGAAATAAAAATAAGCATGCTAACTGGGAAGGTGTCGAGCCCGGGCAATATTTTTTTTCTCACACTTTGAAATACCATACACATATACATGGCTATTTAAATAGAACTACTACTGTTCACTCTTACTCGCTTTACAACTTTTTTTTCCATTTAAAAATAATTGTTTATAGTTTAAAGACCCAGGGTTGGTCTAAAATGACATTGTTGGTCTCATTACAGCCTCTAGTGGACAGTTAAAATGAGTTTCCTGAAAAGGCTCTTCTGGTGTTGTGCTCCTTGACAAGCTTTATCAAGGTGAAGGTTAATACCTCAGACATAACCTGGTAATATCTCTTCCCCCCACTTTGCAGAGTCGGCTTCTGAAAGGAGCTTTGTGCTGAAGGTATTATTATTACTGGCCTGTGAATAAACAGAGAGCTTCTGCTATTCATTTCAATTTCAGACAGTTTTCATAAAAACTGAACTCATCTAAATTATTTTTATGACAGAATGTATTGGTTGCCGTGTTTTTAGCTTAACTGAGATGTTTTTATTCCAACTCCTAATCTGCAGACTGTCCAATCCACCTCCACTCTATTTTTAGACATCTTATATTTAGGATTTTCGGTAAAAAGCTAATATTTTAATTATTGCATTGGCACAAGCAGTTAAGTTATTTTTAAAACCTTAAACAAATTAAAACACATCATTCAGATTAGAGTTAGTCAATTAATTTAAATATTCCCTCAAGGAAGCTAAATATTTATATTACTCAAGCAGTAAGAATAATTAATAAGAAATGTGTCATTTACTTTCTTAGCCATTGAGATTAAAGCTATTAACTGCCATTAAAATCTGTTAACTATTTCTTCCTACAAGGTCCAACCAACATCCTATATAATAAAAGCCTAATATGCTAAGTGTCTGGTCATCCGATCGATCGTCTGTTCAACCAATCAAAACATAATATGCTAATGATATGCTAAGGCTTGCTATGATATGCACTGACCACCACGGGGCAGGCACTCCGACTGGTAGGTTAGCTTACTGCTGGGGTCTGGCAGATCAGGACTGAGCGAGTTGGGCCAGACATGCCCTGGAGCCCTCCCACAGTCCCTCCCCAGCTGGCCAACCTCCCGTGTCCCTCCCGGGCCCTGATCATGCACCTGTGGGGTTCCTCGGCCTGGCCTGCACCCTCTCAAAATCCAGGACCCCTCAGGGGATGTTAGAGAGACAGTTTTGGCCCAATCCCGCTCAACGCAGGAGTTGCCCCCTGGTGGTCAGTGTGCTCCCACAGGGGAAGTGCCGCTCAGTGGAAAGCCAGGCTCACAGCTGGCAAGCACAACAGCGGTGGCAGAAGCCTCTCCCACCTCTGCAGCAGTGCTAAGGATGTCCCTGGGAGGAGCGGGCCTAAGCCATCAGTCGGACATCCCCCAAGGGTTCCTGGACTGTGAGGGGGCCCAGGCCAGGCTGAGGGACCCTCCCCAAGTACACAAGTTTTGTGCACTTGGCCTCTAGTAAACATAATAATACTCATGATAAACTTTCATTACCTTTAGCACTGAAATGTTTTATTTTCAGATGGCAAAATAGTAAGTGTACAATCACACATAACTGGTACTGATTATTTAAAAACACCACTCTCTCAGGCAAATAAAAACTCAATGAAAGAAGAACAGAGGTTTCTAAAAGTCAGTAGGCAAATATGTAGTACTGTGATCTTATTCATAAACCTGATACTATATTTTACAAGCATAAGTCCAACTTTGAAATAAAGGAAACTGAGAAATAAGGCCTGCTGAGACTTACTCCTAATTTATGTTCTGCATTGATTAAACATTTCATCCCTTGTGTCTATTTCTCTGTTTTGGTAGTACCCATTTTTGAAGGTTGAAAATGGGCTCTCAAGTATATATTATATCATCACATCTTCCTTCTGAAAGAGTCTTCAGTGGGAGCTTTTTAGACAATCAGAATGAGCGTTCCACCCCAGACCTACTGAACCAGAATCTGCCTTTTAACCAGCCCCTGGGTGGTTCCTAAGTACATTAGTGTGAAGACTGCTGTCTATACTGCAAGGGCTCTGTCTACACGAATTTGGCCACAGATGTAGAATTTAATTCCTCTATTCCCTTTTTATCCCCTCCCTCTTTTATTATTTGTACTTTTTAATGAAAACTTGTTACATTTTATGCTTTGGTTAAATTGTACTGCATTTCAGAAGAGCTGTGATTTATGCACAAATCTGTACCATCATTACCAAGAGAACTCTGAGGAATGTCCTGGGGTCTTGAATGTGAAAGTTTTCTTCACGGCAGCAGAGGGAGCACAAGAGTACTTAATAAAACAAGTGTACAGGCCATCCAAATCATAAGGGATATTAAATTGTAGTATATGTTTTCATTGGACTAGCTTACCAGGTTATAGCAACTAAATATCAAAGAGATTGAAAGTTCACTATAGATGTACTTATTCGGAGTTGTAGGCTTGAGGTCTTAAAATAAAGTGGATCTCAAAAGTCATACTTGGAAAAGATGCTTAACTTTCATTATGTCACAATATATGGAATTTAAGCCATTGTGCTGTATGCCTTAAACTTATAGTGTGATGTATGTCAATTATTTCTCAATAAAATCAGAAAAAAAGAAAGGTGACTTATAGAATAAGGCAACTTTAAGAGTAACTTCTATTTATTTTTTAATGTTGGGGGGTCCCCTGGTCATGTGGCTCAGTGGTTGAGCATTGATCCATGAACCAGGGGATCACAGTTCGATTCCAGGTCAGGCAGGGCATGTGCCTGGGTTGGCGGGCTCCATCCCGAGTAGGGGGAGTACAGGAGGCAGTGGATCAATGATTATCTCTCATCATTGATGTTCTCTCTCTCTCTCTCCCTCTTCCTTCCTCTCTGAAATCAATAAAAACAAATATAAGTAATAATAAAAAAATAAAATGTTGGAGGTCAATTAACCCAATAGTATGTCTGATAAATTTATTTCATTGGGATTTAAATCTGTTTAGGAAAGAATGCACTTCTCACCATGTTTGATTTCACAGTAATTTTAGGCATTTATCCTTAATGTTTGCAGTGGTGAGGACATATATTTCAGTTATATCTATGTAGCTTTTTACACTCTTACAACCTTCTGTATTACATCTTCAAACACTCCTGTGAGGTGAATAAGACATGGGAAAGCCAAGCCTCAAAAAAGTTTTGGAACTGCTTTGTGCTTTCATGATATCGGGTTATTTAATTGTTATAATGATCCAATGAGGTGTTCAGAGAGGAGGGAAATCATAGAGGTTAAATATCCAGCAGCATGTTCTCTACAGTTTTAAAGGTTTTTCAAAATTACTAGATAGTGAATATTTAATAAGTGAACATCTAGGCAAGAGACTTATGAATAGAGACTATGTCTTAATTCTCAACTTGCTCTTTATGTATTTACTAGAGACCCAGTGCACGAATTCATGCATGGGTGGGATCTGGCTGGTCCACCCCAATTGGGGCCCAATCAGGCTGGG